AATTACATTTGTTAAGGTTCAAAAGGACATTAACAAATAAGCTTTTAATCAATGTATAATTTCTGACAAAATCATTAGAATTTTTTTTAAGTGCATGATCATATTGAATTGAAAGTTTAATGACATTTGTAAGCATTTCAATTTACAAACCCAATTCCAAAAAAGTTGGGACACTGTACAAATTGTGAGTAAAAAAGGAATGGAATAATTTACAAATCTCATAAGCTTATATTTTATTCACAATAGAATATAGATAACATATCAAATGTTGAAAGTGAGACATTTTGAAATGTCATGCCAAATATTGGCTCATTTTGGATTTCATGAGAGCTACACATTCCAAAAAAGGTGGGACAGGTAGCAATAAGAGGCCGGAAAAGTTAAATGTACATATAAGGAACAGCTGGAAGACCAATTTGCAACTTATTAGGTCAATTGACAACATGATTGGGTATAAAAAGAGCCTCTCAGAGTGGCAGTGTCTCTCGCATGCTCACTCGGCCAGAGGCTCACTCGGCCTCTGCTCACTCTAGGCCGCGGTGTGTGACGCTGTGTTTCGTTGTGAAAGCTAAACTACTTTGTTTGGTCTTCCAAAAGAGGACACGACTACAAATCAGTGGTTAAGTTTTATTTACATCACTGTTCCAGAACACTTCAACCCAAATATTCAGATGTGTCCAGCGCATTTTATGGAGGACTGTTTCCTGATCCTGGTAGAGTAGACTACAATGCCGGCTGTTCTGACTCACAGACTGTAAGTAAGTTTTTATATTTAAAGGATTTGCCACTGACGATTCAAACGCGAGTTTTGAGCAGTGTAGAGTAGCACTTGTTGTTTGTAATTTCTTCGATCACAAATGCGCAATGCATAAAAAGACAGTATAAGTCATTATAATCCGTAATTATGTCCCCACTGGATGCAACAAATGCGTCATTTATAATGGATTTTAATGTTTTTGTCTCGTCGCTCAAGCCAGACACGGCATCACAGTATGGTAGGGGCGTAACATTTCCGTCTCACGCTTGAGGTATTCGGCCAATCACAACACAATGGATAGCTGGCCAATCACAGCACACCTTGCTTTTCAGACCGATGAGCTTTGTAAAAATCGACGCATTTCAGAAAGGTAGGGCATAGAGGAGAAACAACAATGTACAGTATGTGGAAAATAATGTGTTTTTTTAACCTTAAACCGCATAAACACATTTCATTACACCAAATACACACAAAAAAAGTTATTTTTAGCAATATCATATGACCCCTTTAACTAATGATCTGTTAAGCAATGCATAATGTTTGCTAATGATTTATTAATGAAAGTTATTATAAAGTGTTATCCAGAAGTGTTGTCAAGACAAGTTCAGACAAAGACCTCGACCCAAGACCTACCAATAATTTGATGTTTTATCATGAATATTTTATTCACTTCCACACATCACCAATATTTGGTCCCATGGCTACTACGAATGAAGTCACTGCAAAGACTGTATACATACCAAGATGGTTCACTCATATTACTATGAATGGGGACAAGTGCACAGAGCAATATGGTATAAGAAATCCCGTCTTCTAAACAAAAAAGAAAATCATGGATTTTAGTCTCGTGGCACCAACTGTTGTTTCTCTTATAACGAGCCTACTGTGTTTTGAACTGTTGGAGGCACTTCCGGTTTGGGGACGTTCCACTCAAAAAGACAGAACAAATTATTTCAAAACATAAGGTTGCACTACAAATATTCCATGTTCATCAGTTTGACTGAAAGTGCTGTACATTTTTCTTCATGTTCTATTTTGAGACATCAGGAGAATAACGTATTACTTGGTATTTTAATATCAATGGAAGAGATGGAATCAATGGAATTCTTTTCTTCCTGATTATTTTAATTTTTCCTTTGTATTCCGCTGTAACAACACGAAAAATGTACAACATACATTGCACATTTGTGGTCTGCTCTCCTGATTTAATTTACAATATCTCTCATGAATAATTCACTGGAATTCTCTAGGAATCTTGATTGTTTTTCTCCACATATAATTTCTTTGCAAGTTTGTTTTCACATGAATGATTTAAAATGTAATTTTCTCCTGGAATTCAATTGATGGAATTCACTTTGAAAAATGAATCAACATTTTTTTTATTTAAGCAACATATGTTACGTAATATATAGACATAGACATATATTACTACATTAATATTAACTGATATAACTGATATAATTTGTAATATTGCTGTAGAAATAATCATGATTTTAGGGTTATTCATTGTCTGTTGAAAGTAATTTGTTAAAGCTGTTACACTTTTAAATGACCTTTTATTGTTCGATGGTTGAAGGCTGAGTAGAATAATGTCCCTTCATTGTACCCATTTTTTGAAAATGCTTCTTTTTGAGTTCATAGAGCGAACCTTTCATTGATTGTTTACAGTTTAACTGAAGTTACTCCCATAATTCGTGCAAAGGTCATGGGGTGTAGGATAAAGGTTGATAGGAACCAGAGCATCTAACGGCAGAAGCAGTGACACGATGACTTTATGCTTTATGCGTGAAGACAGATTACAACTTACCATGCCACATCACATCGCACCACTGACTCCAAATGCAATTGGTTCTTTGTACAGTTTGTACATTGAAATATTTTGAAACACAGATCTGATTAAAGCTATAGTGGATGGGGAGATTTTCAGTTAATAATGACTGTAGAATCCTTTAAAATTAAAATTTTCTCATTATCAGATCATACGATTCAAATGTATAGTTTGGTTTATACTTTTCATATTAAGACATTGTTTGTTATGCTTCTTTTAACTATTTTTCTTTCTTTCTTTCTTTTTAATATCACAAATATAAATTCATTTGACTGAATAAACCTGACTGCATTCGATTAAATTAAGGTACAAATGATAGTCAAATCAGGTAAAACCAGTTTCTTCTTGTTCATCAGGCTTTTCAAACACTTTCTCAAAACACAAAACAACATTTTCCAAACTACCAAGTTTTGACCAGATATTGTTCATTTTAAATTATTGTTCTGAATGTCTTTGATAGCCTGTTGATTATCACATATATCTCTTGAAACGAGCCTATCTGGGAATAATATGGGTGTCATCAGCAAGCCAAAAGTACTCAAGTGTCCACAGCAGGTGCATAAATATGTCATGTTTTCACAGCCCGTAACCAAATGGAGATGCAGCCAGATGGAGTGCAAATGTTACATTTCATGTAGTATCATTAGTAGGTTAGTTCACCCCTCAGTGGTTCACCATCTGCTTCCAATTGAGTTCTCCTCTCTGAGCCAAGCTTTGAGAGAGGAGGTGAAATCTATACCACTCTGACCCAAATCCCACATTGGGTTCATTAACTTTTCATTAACAAGTGTTTACAGACATTCACAAATCTGTCATTCAGAATAATTAAAAAAGCTAGCTAAAGAGTAAGTGCATGATATATATTTCATGCACATGATCGTCTCGTACTGGCAGGGATTGAAGGTGGGGGGGGGGAATGTACAGCGCTCTCTCCCACCTTCAATACCACGACTGAGGTGCCCTTGAGCAAGGCACCGAACAATGTGTATAATGACAAAGGTATAACATAGGTATTACAAGGAGAAGGTGACTTTTCAGGACATTACTCCATGTCCCCACTTTTCAAAACGCTTATAAATCACACAGAATGGAGTGTATTGAAAATCTGAAATAGCAGAAAGTCTCCTGTGAGGGGTAGGTTTAGGGGTAGGGTTAGTGTAGGACAATAGAATATATGGTCTGTACAGTATAAAAACCATTATGCCTATGGGATGTCCCCACTTTTCACAAATGTAAACCTGTGTGTGTGTCTGTGTGTGTCTGTGTGTGAGTAAATCAATGAAACATGAATTTTAAGTCAAAATTTCAAGGATTTAAAGAGAGAGAGAGAGAGAGAGAGAACACTAAGAAATAGCCCATGCTCTTAATATGCTGTTGCATCTTAAGAATTGTGCTCAGTTTTCGTTTTTTCTTTAAAAAAGGAAACATGAATATTCCACCGATATCGGACTAATTTTACGTGAGTATAATGTTAACACATGCACATGTAAGGTAAAGATTTGCGTGCCTGACCTGAAAGTGTGTGTGTGTGTGTGTGTGTGTGTGTGTGTGTGTGTGCGTTGGGGGGTGTTGACTTTCACATGACATTGACGCTCTGGAAATGTTGAGTAGCTGCTGATCTCAGACAGTCGTTGCTCGGTGGATCCAGCACCACTCGCCCGTGGACAGCTCCCGCAGGACCGCTTTACAGGAACAGAAGGCTCATTTACGTGCCAACTCATTCTGGAAGTTTACAACTTGGAGAGGAATCTACTGATACTTCACTGCATGACACACGGGCACATTGCTTTTGGGAAAGAAGCCAAATTCACTGTAAGTAGATACGAGAATTTTGGAAATGATTTTCACTTCATTAAAATGTCTTCAGTGTGTTTGCTTGATTGTGTGTGTGTGTGTGTGTGTGTGTGTGTGTGTGTGTGTGTGTGTGTGTGTATAAATGCATTCAATAAAATGGGTATAACGATAGTAAATGCACCAAAACACTGTAGAAACAATAGAGAAGCTGGCTGATCGTTCGATCGAATAAATAAATAAATAAAAAATACATATCTTTAAATTGACTGTCATGACAGACAATTCTGTCTCATTTCGAGACGGCAGATTTCTTAGGGTGTTTGTGTGTCGCCTTCGATTTCAAACAGCGGACTGCCTTTACGGGGAAAACACAATGATTTCGTGTGATTCGTTGTCTTCAGGTGAACTGAAACTGTGTCGGGTTTGAACGGGTGTTTGCGTGGTGGATCTCTGCTGCTGTCTGAAATCAGAGACATGGCGACAAACAACACCAAAAGCACTGACGGACAAGTTGTGACGGAACTCAACGAAGCAAATTGATGTGCATGACCTTTGTACATGAATTTACATAATACATTTTTCCATTAAGTGTCTTGTTGAGAAGTGTAATTGTGTTGTGTGATGTGCTTATACAGACGCAATATGCATCAAATGACTGATGGCTTAGAAAAACCTGGTGAAATTCGTGTGCCACTTGCAATAACACTGGCCATTGCCTGGGTCCTCGTGTACTTCTGTATCTGGAAAGGTGTTCGCTGGACTGGAAAGGTGAGATGTCTTTGTTGGTCTGTCTTCAAGGATTCGGTCTGGAATTTGAGTGAGTTTGAAATGATTTCACCGCATTGAATGTAAAGCATACATGGTTGCAATTAACTTTGTGGGAGGAAGCAAAAATGCTCTGTGGGGTTTTTTGTCCCATGAAAGCAATGTACAATATTTCCAGCTTTTTTTAACAGGCATTCTCATGCTGAACAAATGCACATGGGGAAATGTTTGATAGAGAAATATATTTTTTTGCAGGTTGTTTACTTCTCTGCCACCTACCCATACTTCATGCTGTTCATTTTGTTTATTCGTGGAGTGACCCTGCCTGGGGCTAAAGATGGAATCATGTTCTATGTCACTCCTGATTTTGAGAAGCTGAAGCAGTCTGAGGTGATTTTACATGTTTAATCATTTAAGCAGGATCAAACAAACCCAATCTAGCTGCTAAACAGTTTCATTTTCCATCTCAGGTTTGGCTGGATGCTGCAACACAGATTTTCTTCTCCTATGGTTTGGGACTAGGCTCTCTTATTGCTCTGGGCAGCTACAACCCTTTCAATAACAATGTGTACAGGTATGAATGATACAGTGACATAATCTTTCAACATTTCATCAGTTAGAAAGCTCAACCCTGTTTCAGTGTTTCAGGCCCCTAAACTTTGATTTTCACCCTGACCATTTCTTTTTTTGTTTTTGCTTTTTTTTTTATGCTGTGAATAATGTTTGTTTGAACGAGCCAGATCTCTAACTGTGACTGACTGTGACCATGTGCCCATTATCAGACTTGACATTTTAGCATATGAATAGCGAGAATTACCATCACATCTAATTTGAAGTTTGGCTATATCACTTACATAATCCATCTTCTCCTTAAATGCTAAAATGATAGCTTTCAGATCAGTTAGGAGTATGACAAAGATGTTTATAGCACATTTGATGACAGATCCCCCCCCCCCCCTGTAGCTGCATCAGGTAATCTGTTCAATTTGAAGTTTTGGAATTTCACATTTTTATATCAGTTGAAGTATGAATTATTGTTAATTTCAGATAACACATTTTTTTTTCATGGCTTACACAGGTCCTGGTTTGGCGTTTTTAGCTTATCCAGAAGCTGTGACGCAGTTGCCCGTCTCACCACTGTGGGCTATTCTCTTCTTCTCCATGCTGCTGATGCTGGGAATCGACAGTCAGGTGAGAATATCACATATTCAAGCTCTGACCTAGAAACAGAAGTGAACGGGATCTGGTAGATACTTCAGATCTGCCAGCATCAGTGGCGGAGTCCCTGGCGACCACACAAGGAAACATAAGGAACATTAAAAACACTCAACTGGCCTTGAGCTCAATAAAATCTTCTGATGTTGATTTCTGCCTTTATGGCTACGTGCATTGATGATTTTAAACTGATGGTATGTTCTATTGTGATCTATTGCTATATTTTCTTCTTGCAACTATCAGTTTACAGAATGCTTCAATGTTTTCAAAAAATGCCATATTAAAACACCATTGCTGATGTTGTTTTCAGTTCTGCACAGTGGAGGGCTTCATCACTGCTCTGGTGGATGAATTCCCACGGCTGCTCAGGAAAAGAAGAGAGATTTTCATTGCATGTGTTTGCGTTGTGTCCTACGCCATTGGGCTGTCCAATATCACGCAGGTAAATCAATGAAGGAAGCAGATGATGAGATGTTTGACCAGAGGTTGTATATTAATATGATTGCAGGCTGCAGGGCCATGTATTGATTTTCTTGCTGTGTTTTAGGGTGGCCTCTATGTGTTTAAACTCTTTGACTATTACTCAGCCAGTGGAATGTGTCTGCTCTTCCTGGTGTTCTTTGAGTGTATCTCAATCTCCTGGTGCTATGGTGAGTCCTTTTTACGTCCTCTTAAAATCTGTATTTTACATTGTGCTTCGTACTTAGCATTGCATAGCATTATAAAAATGGACAGAAGTACTTTGGTTGTTAGTCATAAATAGTCATAAATTATCCTGTCATAAATAAACAACACAAGTGTATCCAGTGGGACTGGCCTGCAAAATGACAGCAACGCCATTACTGTTGCAAAAAATAAATAAATATATATAATTTTAACACGTTAAGGATTGTAAAATGAATCGCATGCGTTAACGCGTTAACGATGACAGCCCATATATACAGTATATATATATATATTCGTTTGCATAAATAATGAAGAACAATCAATTGCATTACTTCTACTTTTAATTTGAGATATTTTTGTTAATCGCATGTGATGAATTTTGAATTGGGTTGTCAATATAATATTATATAGGGTTGGATAATATAATGCAACCAACCAATCAACATGCATGCATGCATGCATCTAAATTTGGTAACCACAGTCCTATAGAAGATTACAAATATGTGTTGAAGATTATGTCAGTCATTGTTATGGCAAAGCAGATGAGCAGATCTACTTTGATCTTGGTTTGCCTATAGTTTCTATTTCTTTCTTGGTGATGCTACTATCATTTGGGACTGCTACATTACCCCTGCCTTTTTTTCTGCAAGTTTCTGGACATTATTCTTGATGACTTGGTTGTGAATGTAGTGTTAGTTACTGCCTGCTTTCTTTTAGAGTCTGGACCTTGAGTAACTACCATTGTTGACCCTGTATACAGTATATCCCTCATTAAGTCTGTTACTATCATTAGTGCTTCTGTTTTCTCTCTGTCCTAAACTAAAGCCAGTTGATTTCTCAATGTTTGCCACCTTCGCTGTCTGGTAGTGTGATATTGTAGGGAAGGGCCTGTTTTTCCATGGAACTTCTTAGTATTTTTTTACAATTGTAGTCCAATCTTTGAATCAGCAGCTGCCTGGGAAACTGCTGCTCATCATGTGTCTGATATACTAGATTTGGAATCTAGTTCAACTCTTTCTGTCCTTATTATGTGTTTACCCTCTTTACAAACATTCTATCACACTTGCTTTAATTGAATTGAATTGAATTACATTTCCATATCTGCTCTAGATCATGGGTACTCAATATGATTCTCTCATCTGGATATGTTTTTTTATTCATCACCTCCATGTTCTATGGGTAAACTTTGCTTTGATGATTTATAGTGGCGCGTAATGTTACCACTCTTTAACAATCACAGCCATCGCAGTACAAATGAAACATACACTCTAAAAAATGCTGGGTTAAAAAGGGACAAACCCAGCTATTGGGATGTTTTGACCAAGCGATTGGGTTCAAAACAACCCAACCGCTGGGTCAAAACAACCCAATAGCTGGGTTTGTCCCTTTTTAACCCAGCGCTGGGTCATAAAATGCTTAACCCAGCATTTTTTGGAGTGTAAGGTTTGCTGCTTCTTTCAGGAAAATAAATACATCTCTGTGCATGTCTGTACAGTCTTTTTCAAATGCATTCAGATGTTTTCAGATGTTTTCCTTGTCAATCGTCCTTTTCAAATGTCTCACAACAACAGTTAAGAATTGAAGGGGAGTGAAGGTTCTGGCTATCTTTTTGCTTTTTTACATGGTTCTGTTGCAGACATTTAACACATTCAGTTTTTTTAAAATATCCATTCATTTCAAGCCTTTATGCACATATGTTACACAGTCACTTAGGATTGATTTGGACTGAATTGAGTACCCTTGAATCCTCGGTACTGCTTCAGATAGAAAGTTGCAAGATAGATGAATGCAGTGAATTAATGCAGTCCCTTTCAAATTTCATCTAATTTCAGGTGTGAACAAATTTTATGATAACATCCAGGAAATGATTGGATACAAGCCTTGTCTGTGGTGGAAACTCTGCTGGGTTTTCTTCACCCCTCTAGTTGTTGGTGTAAGTAGCCTACTTTTTTCTTTTTCATGTGAAATTATAAAAGATAGATAGGCCTTTATAGTTGCCAAAAATATAACTTTTTGTTATTAAAAAAACTAATAAGTAAGCCCAGTCCAGGTGACAAAAAGTAACACAAAAGTAACATAATGCATTACTTTCCATAAAGAGTAACTAAGTAACGCAATGTAGTTAAGTTGCATTGTGGCATCCCTAGCCACTTTAGCATGTATAATGCATGTTAAAAACACAATGATTATATTTTGTAAACCCTGTTAAAATTAGACAGAAATGTAAGAATCAAAGAAAAAATGCAACATTTTATTGAATTTTAATTAATTTTAAATGTTTATTATGAAAATGAGATACAAATGTGCATTTACATGCATTTACATGTAGTTGTATATGTGTGATAAATGTTTATAATCACTGATCTTGGGTAACAACATTGACACATTGACAGTAATATGATAAGTCTGGTCCACATTGCAAGTTTTGACTGAGGATTCGCTGACTTTTTTTTATAACAATATGTACCCTGATTCCCTGATTGTGTAAAGCCCGCCAATCAGATTGAGCTGTTTTGAAAAAGCTCTCGCCACTTTTGTGACAAACATTAAAAACGTGATAAATAACAACTAATATGATAAAGTGCAAATTACTTTTAGAGGAACAAGTAATGATATATATATATACAGTATATGTTTATATATGTTATATTCATTGTTTTGAACAAATCTATTGATTTTGTCTAATCTAAATCTTGAAAGATGTTAAAAATAAAAAAAAATAAAAAAAAACAGTTGGAAACACAGGGCTGGCCATTCTGACAGATTATTTGATGTGTTTAAAAATCACTGTAACAGTGTAAAAGTGTAAGTTAGTCAAGTCAAGTGACATTTATTTTTATACAAGGGAGCACATAAGTTTTTCAGCCTGGTTCTCATAAGAGCACCTGGAGATTTGGTTTGGTCCTCACACAGCACATAGTGTGATCCATTAAATATAACTATACAAAAAATAAATTAATAATAATGATAATAATATTGTGGTTATTTATTTTTGTTTTTTTAAATAAAATAATAATGTGTGATAATACTATTAAGTATTTAATATATGAATTTTCATCATATTCTAACTTAAAATCGGCAGGCTTTTAGTTTGGCGGGTTGCCGGCAGGTAAGTATATGCGCTGCCGGGTTTGTCTCTGCCGATTGAAGAGTGTCAGTGAATAAAATGTCACAGTTTTGCATTGTGTTTTGAAAACGGCAGCAGATTTATGCTTTCATTTCAAATAGAAATCTTATACAGTATTACAGTTTGTCTTAAATGGTAATTGTGCATTAACAGCTGTCAACCATGTCGGTATCCATTTTTTATTTTGGTCGCCCATGCGCACCTGCGTACCACTTATGTCCACCTCTGTTTATATAGTGCTTTATTACAATACATGCTCTTTTTTTTATGAGAGCAATGTAACATTAATGAACAAGAAAATAACTGTCAATTTAGCAAAGTTCATCATTTATGAAACAAGTTCAATTTAGCTATAAGCCCCCTTACGAAAAAGAAGTTTATTCAAGTGTGCTATTAGTATACTTCTTTTAACACTAAAACTGCCAGGGGTCGCTGTATACCTAAAAGCGCCAGCGGGTAAGTTTTACCCGTGCACATGGCAACTGTATTTATATGGCTAAAGAACATATTATTTCACTGTATTATGCTACTGTCTTCACTAAGAAGTGTCTAGAGTCATGAAATGATTATGTCTAGTCATCAACTATATTTTTATCCTGTTGTTTTATGTTCAAGACTTTTTAATGCAGGCTACACTAATCCATAAAGGTCAGTAGCCTAAGCTAAAAAAACAAGTCTGCACTGACAATGGGAATTAGAAGGTAATAGCCTAAATATGTGGGTGGTTTAATATTATAATACAATGTCATTAATCAATATATTAAGATAACCCATGTTATGAATGACTAAAACAGACTATAGACAATAATGAGCAATAATAATTCACCACACTGCATAGGATAATGCAATGAAAAATTCAAGTGCACAACTTCACCTAAATATTTATTAATTTGTTTAGTTATATAAATTGTAATTTGAATAAGAGAACAACACCATTAAACTTTGGGTAATCAAAAAATGGTTTTATTCATTACATCATATAGATCTGATTTTTTTCTTCTTCAGGAAACGGCCAGACTAGAATAGCAACACAGTAGCTGACAATAAAGGATATGGCAAGACAAAAATTTAATAATTAAACCAAAGTTTGACCAATTAGAGTAACGTTTGGCTAAAACATATAAATATAATTTCTGGATCACTGTCAGATGCTGAGCTGACCCCGGACGCATAACTTACCATCAGACTCTCCATCACTCATGGCATTTAGTGTTTCTAATACCTTCCTTCCATAAATCGCCTTTTTTTTGTCTTTTTGACTTTATTTATGAAACTCATAACCGCTAAATCAGTGAGTTAAAGGCGTTGCCCATAAATGTACAAAGTTAAAACATAAGCGGCAAGAATACATGCATTATATAGGTGGGTAAATTTGACCCGCTTGGCGCTTATAGGTATAAATGCCCTGTTTTTTTTTTTTATCTGGTTTTATCTAAATCATTTTTAACAACATTGGATTGTAAATTACATAATTTTAGTAAAAGTCAATGACTGGGAGACTTGAATGTTTTATTTTAAATCTGTTATGTACATTTGAAAAACAGCCACGGGTAAAATTTACCCGGTTCTAGTGTCAAACTAAACATAGGAAAGTATACTTTCAGTCTACTTTTTATGTACTTCTCAGAAATGTGCTTTATGTCCTTCTCAGAAATATAGTTAAAATAAAGTATTTACTTAACTTATACTTATGCTTATGCTATAATGCTATAGCTACTTGTGCTCCGGGAATCCATGTTTTCATTGTTATACAGTAGGGGGCGCTTTTACACATATTCTGTAAGTTTGAAACATTTGAAACAACAGATGGTTCCACATGTAATGTAACATGATCAGACATAAAACAGCATCAAAACTGTGTAATGTTGTGGAATAAAATGTCGACCCATGAAGAGCTTTGGGGTGTTGGTCGACTCCATCTACGTTTGGATTATCGTTCTGAATCCAATTCATGGTCTTTTTTTCAAATAGTCTTTGTTCAAAATGTTGTTTATTTATTTATTTATCTTTTTATTTATGAAACTTACCCACATTCAAGCTTTTACCAAAAAGAATTCATGAAGCTAGAATAAAATGTCTTTGTTTACAAGCAGATAGTTCTTTATTTTGATGTTTGTATGTTCAGATATTCATATAACAACATACTGTATATACAAATTAATACCTAAATAGGGACATAGTAGTATACTTATAGTATAATGTAAAGTTCACTTAAATAAAACTTACCAGTATACTTGCAGTATAAAACTACTAAACTACTAAACTGAGATTGCACTTCAAAGTGTCTTAAAAATGCTACAAGTATTTATACTGAACATAATTATAAACGCAACACTTTTGTTTTTGCCCCCATTTTTCATGAGCTGAACTCAAAGATCTAAGACTGTTTCTATGTAGTTTCATTCTTCAGCTCAAGTCAGATAAGAATCAGAATCAGAAGAATCAGAATGAGTTTTATTGCCAGGTATGTTTACACATACAAGGAATTTGTTTTTGTGACAGAAGCTTCCACAGTGTAACAGAATGACAGTGACAGAACAAAAAACACAGATAATGACTGAGTATGAGTGTTAGATAAATAAGTGTATGAGTGTATAAATAGTGTGTGTTCCACAGTTATTGTTAAGTGTTCATGAGATGGATTGCCTGAGGGAAGAAACTGTTCCTGTGTCTGGTCGTTCTGGTGCTCAGTGCTCTGTAGCGTCGACCAGATGGAAAGAGTTCGAAGAGGGAATGTCCTGGATGTGAGGGGGTCCAGAGTGATTTTGCCAGCCCTTTTGCTCACTCTGGATGAGTACAGTCCTTGGAGAGAAGGGAGGGTTGTACCAATGATTCGCTCAGCAGTCCGGACTACCCTCTGTAGTCTTTTGAGGTCAGATTAGGTAGCTGGGCTGAACCAGACAGTTATAGAAGTGCAGAGGATGGATTCAATGATAGCAGAGTAGATCTGTTTCAGCAGCTCCTGTAGCAGGTTGAACTTCCTCAGCTGGCGAAGGAAGTACAACCTCTGCTGGGCCTTTTTCACAATGGAGTCAATGTGAGTGTCCCACTTTAGGTCCTGAGAGATAGTGGTGCCCAGGAACCTGAATGACTCCACTGCAGTCACAGAACTGTTCATGATGGTGAGTGGAGGGAGAGCAGGGGGGTTTCTCCTGAAGTCCACAGTCATCTCCACAGTTTTGAGCGTGTTGAGCTCCAGGTTGTTGAGACTGCACCAGACAGCCAGCTCTTTAACCTCCTGTCTGTAAGCAGACTCGTTACCATCCTGTATGAGGCCGATGAGTGTGGTGTCGTCTGCAAACTGTGCAGTCGTTGGTGTAGAGGGAGAAGAGCAGTGGGGAGAGAACACAACCCTGAGGAGCTCCAGTGCTGATTATACGGCTGCTGGATGTGTATTTTCCCAGCCTCACTAGCTGCTGCCTGTCTGTCAGGAAGCTGGTGATCCACTGACAGACAGAGGTGGGCACGGAGAGCTGAG